AACAGAAGATTTCAAAGAGCAGCTCGAGCAGACAAAGCCAATTACTATAATGAAATGAGCAAAGACCTGGAGTTAGAAAACCAAAAAGAAAGAACACACTCAGCATTCCTTAAGCTGAAATAACTGAGGAAAAAATTTAAGCCTTGAGTTGCAATATTGAAAGCTTTTATGGGCAAAATATTGAATGATGTAGGAAGCATCAAAAGAAGATGGAAGGAATACACAGAGTCACTGTACCAAAAAGAACTTGTCGATTTTCATCCATTTCAGGAGGTGGCATATGTTCAAGAACCAATGGTATTGAGGGAAGAGATCCAAGCTGTGCTGAAGGAGTTGGTGAGGAACAAGGCTCCAGGAATTGACTGAATACCCATTGAGATGTTTCAACAAAAAGATGCCCTGCTGGAGGTACTCACTAAGTTATGGCAAAAGATTTGGAAGACAGCTACCTAGCCAACTGACTGGAAGAGATCCATATTTGTACCCATTCCAAAGAAAGGTGATCCCACAGAATGTGAAAATTATAGAACAATATTATTAATGTCACATGCAAGTAAAATCTTACTGAAGATAATTCAAAAATGGTTGCAGCAGTATCTTGACAGAGAACTTTCAGAGGTGCGGGCTGGATTCAGAAGAGAACATGGAATGAGGGATATCATTGCTGATGTCAGATGGATCTTGGCTCAAAATAAAGAATATCAGAAAGATGTTTACTTGTGTTTTATTGACTATGCAAAAGCATTTTATTGTGTGGATCATAACACATTGTGGATAACATTGAGAAGAATGGGAACTCCAACATACTTAATTGTACTCATGAGGAACCTGCACATAGACCAGGAGGCTGTCATTCAAACAGAAAAAGGGAACACTGCACGGTTTAAAATCAAGAAGGAAGTGTGTCAGGGTTGTATCCTTTCACCTTACTTATTCAATCTGTATGCTGAGCAAATGATCCAAGAAGCTGGACTATATGAGGAAAAATGTGGCATCAGAATTGGAGGAAGAATCATTAACAATCTGCGATACACTGATGACACAACTTTGCTTGCTGAGAGTGAGAATGACTTGAAGTACTTACTGATGAAGATTGAAGAATACAGTCTGCTGTATGGATTACACCTCAATATAAAGAAAACAAAAATCCTCACAAGTGAACCTATAAGCAGCATTACAATAAAGGAGAAAAGATTGAGGTTGTCAAAGACTTCAAATTACTTGGTTCTACAATCGACATCAATGGAAGCAGCAGTCAGGGCATCAGACGATGTATAGCACTAGGCGAATCAGCTGCTAAGGACCTATTTCAAGTGTGAAGAGAAAAGATGTCTCCTTGAGAACTAAGGTGCACCTGACACAAACCATGGTATTTTCAATCGCCTCATATCCATGTGAGAGCTGGACAATGAATAAGGAAGACTGAAGAAGAGTTGATGCTTTTGAGCTGTGGTGTTGGCGAAGAATGCTGAAAGTACCATGGACTGCTAAAAGAACTAACAGGTCTGTCCCAGAGGAAGTGCACCCAAAATGCTCCTTGGAATCAAGAATGGCCAGAGTTCCTGTCACATACTTTTGTCATGTTGTCAAAAGGGACCATTCCCTAGAGAAGGATGTCATGCTTGGTAAGGTGGAGGGTTGACGAAAAAGGGGAAGGCCCTCAACAAGGTGGATTGACACAGTGGCAGAGGCAATGAGCTCAAATGTAGCAAGAATCACGGAGGTGGCTCAGGACCGGGCAGTGTTTCATTCTGCTGTGGC